GGGTGGATGTGCACGATCACAAAATTCTCCTTCAGAGTTCTTTAGGCTGCGGTGACTGATAGCATGATGACGCCTATGGGTTTCACTCTTCTTCCATCGAATCCTACTAAGGGGTCTCTAGTGGGGCGGATTTGATCTAGAGTGAGTTTCAGCTGATTGTACATCTATTTAGTTATAATGTTGGCACTGCTATCAGGGTCGATGAGGACACATTTGACTAAATAGTTTGTTGCCAGAAAATTGATCACCAGAGGATCCTCGTGTTGTTACTGTACTCTCTTGAAGTCTCATTCATAGAAGGAAATCTAAGTTGAGCTCAATCTGCACTCGATTATGTTGACCTCCCTAATCCTTCGTAGTTTGTGAGCTTGCTTGAGTTGTATCATGTAGGAATTTTCTGGTTGTTCATCTTTTTCTGGACGGCCATGAATCATGTTAATAACCCAAATGGGTTGGCTATCTGCTGCAGCCTTTAGGGTCAGTTTGGTCTGCTCGGATGGCCTCTGATGGCCTGGGTTGGTAAGGTATTCAGCCAACTCGCCCTTGGCTATCAAGGCCTCTATTTGTTTTCGCAAACTCCTGCAATCATTGGTTAGGCGTCCAAAATCACTATAGAATGCACAGTGCTTGCTCTAATCTCTTTGGTTCATTGGTTGCTTGATTGGCGGATGGATTTAGAATATTTTCCTACCCTTTTTTTCCTGGTACAATCTTGTCAGCGTGGTTTTGAGAGGTGTGACATTCTCTGTAGTTCGTAACCTCTTCTCAGGTGCTCTTCCTTCGATACTCGGTGGCTCTCGTTGTGCTCTTGAGGTGCTCGGTCGTTCTCTCGGTCAGCTTTCCATCGTAACCAGCGTCGCCCTCTGTTGCCTTGTCATCTCATTCTCTTCGAGTCTGATGTAATTCTGTGCCCTTATATTCAACTCCGACATGCCCGTTTGAGTTTTCTTCACTAGTGAGGAGTGGAAACGTGTGCTCTGTATCTTAGCTATTTTGAATGCCTCCATGGCTGTAGCCTGGTTGCAGTCTGGAATACCTGAAGACTCCATCTTAAACCGAGTGAGGAAGGTCTGGAGGCCTCCCCTTTTATCTGTCGAATTGTGAAAAGACTGGAGATAGTTTTCTTTTACTTCTTGTTTCTGTAGTACTGGGCTAGGAATGCCATACACAACGTCTCAAAGTTTGAGATTGATTTGTGTGGTCGATTCTTGAACCATTCCAATGCTACCCCTATTAGGCTGGATGGGAAGATTTTGCATATAAAGAGATTGTTTCACACTTCTAGAGTCATTTTCCTAGTTGTAGTGAATTAAATGCTGGAGGGGATCCCCTGTCCCATTGAACTTAATGAACTTCAGCATAGTGAACTTTCTAGGTCTCTTGACCTGTTCTATTTCATATGTGAAGGGAGTCTTAACTATAGAGTGGTAAACTCCCATGCTATGTCCTCAGGCATTTGGGTTTTCAGCCCTTTGATCCACTCGTCTACTTTCCTTTAGAATTTCTGTGGAACATTATTTCCTGGCAATTGGTGATCTCCACCTTGGACCCAAGTACTATTTTTTTCTGACTCAGCATGATCTTCCAAGGCTGGATTCCGTGTGGCTCGTGGTCCTCCTAATGTGGAGTCTACCATGATACAGGATTAACTTGTTATTTCATCCCCGTCGTTCCAATCCAGAGCGTCATGTTGCATATTGAGTTATTACAGAGGAGCCCTCAACTGCTAAGGAGGGTTGTTGAGTCCCTGGACATGAGGTGCTGGAAGCGGATCCATCGGTTCGTTCTGATGTTCTGGTTGAGGACCGAGTGATGGATTGACCTGCTGAACGGTAGCCCGGAGCGCAGAGCATTAATTTTGCTACGTTACCCTCGTTAGCTTGCTTTAACGCATTGATCTGCTCGGTGCTAGCCCCATTGGCTTGTCGCAAGATGTCAAATTGTGTTTGCATCTCCTCGCACATTTTTTAAATGATTTCCAGTTGTTGTAACTGTGCGGCATCTGATCCTATTGTCATTCAGAGCGATGTCGCGTGAAAGTGACAGTGAAAAGTTTTCGTAAAGCTTCCCATAGACGGCGCTAAAGTGTAGGTGCAGAATTTTAGAAAATTATAATAAAGAAAGTATGACTAAATAAAAACAAGTTTGACAGAAGAAAATTAGATAATTGAAATCGATGCCTTTTCTCCTCTCATTAGTCTTTTATTTTATGTTTATATAGAGCTTTCCTTGGGACTGTTATTGACGGTTTTGGATGTGGGCATTCATGGTCCCTTAATTCCTGCGATTTCCTTCATGATAGACGTTATGGGTCATTTGAATCCATCTGTCATGGCCACGTTGCGTCTTCTGTTTGGGCCGACTTAAATGTTTTGGTGCCTTTCTTGGTGGGCTTTTGGCTATATTGGGCTTATGGGCTAGTCATTCTCATGCTGGGCCTTCATTGTTTTGTGGACACGCAGCGTGCTGTGAATGGTGGGAGAATTTCCCTCTACATTCATCAACTCCATTTGTTGATTGGGTGCAGCTTCTCTAGTTGACATCCCATAATGGAGTCGCATACAAGATCAGTAATCACTTGTAGGGTATATTTCTATCCGTTTCCCACAGACAGCGCCAAAGTATAGGTACAAAAATTCATCAGTTGTATAAAGTTGAAGAATAAGAGCAACACACTCAAAGAAAATAACAATAATGCAAACAAGAGATTGAGATTTCAATGTATATCCTTTATTGATGGTCTATGCCTCTATTTACACAAGTTTTGGTGGAAGAATTAAGGTTGGACTTGTATTATTTGCCTCCCACGCAACTTCCATATGTGATAGTTTCCTTATACAATTCTTCCATGTAAGACTCCTTCTATAATTTGTAATTTGCATGATTAATGAACTCAAACAGATGATCCTTCTAGATGGCGAGATTTGGGCCGGGCTGATGATGGGCCATCTTTCCAATTGAGCCAAAAAACCAAACCCTTCTATATCTTTGGGCCTTCTTCGTTGGGTTTTCAGAGTTGGGCGGCCCAGAGAAAGTATTGTGAAAAGTTGGGTGGTGACGTGGTCAGTTGTAATTGGACCCCCCCCCCCCCCCCCCACCACACACACACACACACACACACACACACACACACTGATGAAATGCTTCCTACATGAAGAAATTACATAGATTGTCAGGATTTGAACACAATATGATCCCACATATTGAAGCCCAACCTAGCAATTACTCGATTCACATGATCGACCAGTGGTTCAAAAACTATAGTATTGATCTCATCTATTATTAAACCGATAGTAATTTTTTTCTTTCGAAGTCCAGCGTGTGACTGACCTTAGCAATACCTAAAGATAATATTCCATATACTTGAACGAGAATGAGGATTTTTCCTTTTGAAATTCGGTATGTTTTTAACTTGAACTTGAATATTCCAAAGATTTTTTTTTTTTTTTTTTTCTTTTTTTCACTTCTATGTGGTCTATGTTGTATCTTCCACTTTTAACTTCCTGTTTTTTTTTTTTTTTATTATTATTATGTTGTCTCTTCTTTTGATCCTCTGCTCTTCAGAATAAGCAAATTATACCCAGATTTCAAATCTTAAGGGTCTTTTGATTAAGCTTAAAAAAAAAGGTCTTTTGATGAATAAAAAAAAAAAGTGTCCAAAGTACGAATTAATTGAAAACCAGGACCACTTGTTAAATCCTCAAAATTCAAGTACACATCTCATTTATCATTACATGCACAACTTTAACCGACCAAATGATGCTCTACCAAGTACAAGAGTTCCCTACTTCTGTCTAGTTGCACTTAAACACCTACCCTTCTTCTTCATACCAACAAGTAGACAAGATTGACATCTTTAGTATTTCCAAAATTTTCCACAATGACCAGAAATGCAATTACTTGTTTTGAAACAGTTGCAACTGGTGACAATTCACCCTATCATAAGCATCTTGAATATCTAACAACATCAACAGTGGCACACCAAATGAAGGGAGTAATTGTAAGTTGACCTGTTTTAGAAACTCAAAACACTTCACATAATATCCCAATATTAATTATAAAAGACGCGCTCCTTTGAGCTATTTCAATGATGTATTTATAAGAGAATCAAGCAAGTGAAGAGCCATCTGGTGGGATGTTCAACTGATATAAGGCAAGAAACAAGATGCTGTCCAGCCCTGGCTCAACTATGGCAATATGAGAATCCAAGACCGAGGCAAAAGCGAAAACAAAGATTTTTGGTTCCTTGACTGAAATCTCCCAAAAATGATACAAATACTAATGCAAACAAATTTAAGATGGAAAAGAGAGTTTGAATCAAGGTCAATGGTATACAATAATGTGTACAATAATAGCACGACAGACCATATTTGAACCAGAAGAGAGGAAATATTGTAAAGTTCATGGATAGCATAACATGATCCTCACCTGCAAAGCCAAAACAAAAGGTGCGTGTAACAGATTTCTATTCATCAAGTGTCCAAACATTTGAATTGCAATTTTAGAAGAGAGCGAAAATTTGCTAAATGAAGACAGGTTTAAATTGAGAATAATAAATGAGCAAGAGAATTTAGACAATACTCGAAGACATGGTAGAATTGGTGTAATTAAAGTTGTAAAATCCCAGACAGAACAAATTAGTTATTACGTACCCATGGCTTGGCCAGTTCCTATTTGGAAGGCTGAAATTTCTTAACTCTCGCAAAGTCTACTCCTGCAAAAATAGTTTAGCTTATGGGGTCCTGAAGCAGTTCAGGCCAACAGCTCGGTCCTTCAATCAACTCAACTCAATTCAAAAAAAATTCTTATTTCAACAAAACTTAATACAACAAGTCTTGTTCCAACAATGCAACATCACGATTACATGAATCTTGTTTTGCTCTGTTCTACTCTATGACCAAAGCGTCACAATATCTTTCTAATTCAATCCGTTTTAATTTTTGATCTTTCCCTTTCTCCAAGTATTAGCAATAATCTTAATGTAGACCATCACACCATCCTTGCTTGAGGAACCTAGAGCAATTGGAATTAACCTGCTATTGCAGTGTTTTAAATATCACAGCCTGCTGTTGCATTCCTATAATTGAAGCTTCCACAGTCAGCTTTAGTTATATGTTGCTTCAAGAAATAATTTAACTTACACTCAAGTAAAAGAAAACAAGATAAGAGAGCAAGGGAAGTTGGTGAGGGAGTAAAAGATGCAGCTTTAAGATAACTTATTTACATGGTTATAAACATGTTGGAAGCAGAATCCCAAAGAAGAAAACTACTACAAGGGGATTGTTTGCAATTTGGGAATATGATCAAGAGTTCCAGTTTCTGGTGGACTTCTGGCATCCTGAAGAATGAGCACTTTCAGTGTGCCTGATTCTCTCAACCAAGCAGCCACCGGAGCTCCAGTCGATATAAACCTGCCAATATTGCACTTGGCAACCTGAAACGGTGCACCCATGCCAGTGAGAAGTGCCTCAATAGATCGCTTTAGTGTGCCATCACCAACTACTTTGCTGTGTTTGCCCCATCCTGTTAAAATGCTGCACAATGACCATAGCTTTACTCCTCTCTGTATAATCAAGGTGTAATCAAAGAAATTGACAATCATGTATATAATGGTCTCAATGTGATATACCTCAATAGTTTTGGCAACTCCTGACCTTCAAAAACAATAGAACGTATGTTGAGTAACCAGGCATGAACCATTGCACGTGCAGCACCAGAAGACATCAGATGCAGATCTAAGCAAGAATCCGACCATGGGTTCTCCCACACTTGACGCCGCTTCCCTTCAAGCACAACAAGTTGGGCCCCTCGTTTCTGGGGAAAAAAATCGATGAACATAAGAATCAGGTACAAGTTCCTGGAGAAGTGCAGGAGGTTCTTTGGCAAAACCCTTTTTTTCATTAGTAGTTGTTGGTGGGTTTTGAATAGCGGTCCCGAATTCAAGTTGATTATATTTGCCTCTTCTCCATAGAAAGGGGGGGTGAGGGGAGGGGGAAGAATAGATATGCCAAGATCTAAGTGAAAGTTGATTGTTTTATCCACTAAACAAATATTATACTCCGTTAAAACAAACAGGAACATAGCTGTTATAAGGGACATAGAGAAGGGGCCATGCAATATGTATTAACCAAAATTTAACAGTCAATAGAAGAAAACATATTGCCTAAATTAAATGAGACCAGGCTGCAAAAGGTTGAAAAATGAAATTGATAATAATTTCTGCGATTTCTGTTTTCTCCATCAATAAAATCAGAATGTTGCAAGACAGCATATGAGAAACCCTTTTGAGGACATACAATCCGTTCATATCATTCACCTGCTTTCCTGTATTTGTCTATACTACTGGTGATATTTTAATTTAAGTCGTCAACTCAATAATTTTCCAGAAAAAAGTTCTAAAATTCATCCTACTGGCAAAGGCACACACTTGTATTTCTAGAAAGACAAATAAGATGAAAGTTCTTAGAAACAACTGATAGCAGTAACTTTCGAACAAATTACATATTCTCTAACCACAAATCAGGATTTAATCCCATGGAGATGATAAATCTTTTGCCTATATATTCAATGGCATTAATTGTTTCGATGATGTTGAATCGGATCGATAACATGAATAACAATATCTAGGCTATCAAATCGATTCATCATCGAGGGATTATGTAAACTGTCTCTATAAGGCTTTCTATGCACCTTTAACTTTTAAGTATTTTTTGTTTTCCCTTCCAGAATGGGGTGGTTATCATTAACAATAAAACATCAAAGTACAAAGATTAAAAGAGGGCATTCCCCAATGTAATCCTATATACTGTTTTTTTGAAAAGTCAATGTAATCCTATATACTGTATTGAGCCACAACCATAAAATCCTTTGGATTTGTGTTCTAATAGGGCAACCATTTACCATATAATGTGTTCCAATTCAGGAGCAATCAAGCACGTTTGATTAACAGGAATTACTTAAAACTTACCTGACCAAAGTGCCACAGCATGTCAGTCAATGCATTATAAAAGGCAGACGCCGTTGAAGAGTCCATTTGCTTCACCTCATCAAAAAGGGATAGAGCTTGCATCCATATATTTTCTCTGTGGCCCATGAGAAGTCCATGTGCCACACCATAGACTTGATTATCAAATAAACGAAGCTCCTCCAATAACAATGAAGCTTCTTCGAATGAATTACAACGGCTGCAACAGAAGCCAAATTCTAGTATTAGATCACCCATAATTTTCAGCCAAAATTGCTTTAAATAAGAGTAAGCATGAACGTAGGAAGAGAAGACAAAGGCAACAAGCAATAAAATTCTAACCAAAAATCCAGACCTTTAAGTTAAAGGTTGTTAGAATATTAGGTATTTTACTAAAAGGCAATATGGTCATTTCATTGTAATAGCAATTGTATATATATACATATACGTGAGAGGAGAAATGTTGCACTCTTACTAAAAAATTCCCAGCCGAGTTTTGCTTTTCATCTTTTCTGCAAACTCTAAATTCAATATGGTATCAGAGCAGGGATGCGATTGATCCCGCTAGCATGTAAGATTGAAAGCCCTTTGTTGTTCTTGTCATGGTCGTGATTATAATCGTTGTCACAGTCATAGCTGCTAGTCCTCTTTATCGCCAGCATCGTCATCATCACAGCCCATTGTTGCCGTCGCATCTTGTTGTCGTTAGTATCATCGTCATCGTCGTCTCATTCAGTCGTTTTTCATCCTTCTTCAGTCGTTGCTGCCATTGTTGCTCGTCATCAGAGGTTACTGCCACCGTCACCTTCTGGTTTGTAGATCGTACAGCACCATGAGGAAGACATGGTGTGTTTGGTTGTGGAAGTGTGCTGCCCCAGGTCTGTATAATTGAATACAATCCAAGTGGAGCATCTAGATTCAACCCGGTAAAGTGACTTGACCCAATCCAAGTGGATCTTCAGGATTCGGTTAATCTGAATCACCCGGTTTGAACCGACTAATGTAATTGGGTCAACCCAAGTTGAAGAACATGTTTTTCAGACCCATTTTGATCTGTTGCACCCTTCTTTTTTCCAAAATTTTCTTTTTCTTTCCTAACACCGGTCGAAGTCCAAGCTATTCAGTATCAATCAGTTTGCTCTCATCTCAGTGTTCATCTCAGCCTATCACTGCTGGTATCAATCAGTTTGCTCTTCATCTTAGTGTTCCCCTTCCCTTGGTTTAATACAGTATGGCATCCAATGCAGATTTATTTTATTCTACTACTTCCTTCAATTCTCCCATGACTTCCATTAAGCTTAATGGTAAGAACCAAATTTTATGGGCCAAATCTGTAGCCATATTTCTCAATGGCAAGGGTCTTGGTAACCATTTGGTTGGGAGATAAACCGAGAGAATCTAATTCTTCCTTCAGTGCATGGGAAAAAGATGCTGCTAGATCATCTCCTTGATGCTATCTAGTATTGAACCCCAAATCAGTTCCACTTTGCTTTACTTAGATACTGCCAAGGAAATATGGGAGCGGTTGCAGCAATTATATTCTGGGACAGGTAATGTTACTCATGCATATGACTTGTGCAAGGAGTACTGGAGTCTTGAACAGGGTAACCAGAGTTTAGAGGCGTACTATTCGAAAGTTATGGGTGTCTATGAGGAGTTGAATATGTACCAACCTATCACTGTTGATGTTCAAAAAATGCAGAAACAACACCAAGGCCAAAATGTTGTTTGATTTCTTACTAGTTTGTCATCCACATATGAGCCTGTTCATGCCCAGATTTTGGGCGGTCCAACACTTCCTTCTCTTGCTGAAGTTTTTTCCCGGCTTCAGCGAGCTACATTGTCTAGTGGTACATCGGAAACAAGTACTGATCAAAGTGGTGAACGGTCAGTTTTAACAGTCTCACAGTGGGCCCAATGTCTCTTGTTGTTGTCGGGGTAGTCGTGGTGGTCGTGGGGGGCGTTCTACCTGTGGTGGCCGTGATTCAGGGGGAAGACACGGTAGAATATAACAACAATGTACACATTGTGTCTTGACTAATCATATTGTGTCCACGTGATGAGTATGCTCAACTTTTGTCTCAAAAGAGAGCTTTTGTTCCATCCTCCACGGTTAATTTTGCCCAGTCAAGTATTGCACCTACGTGTCTAATGTCCTCCACTCATAATCCTTGGGTCATTGATTCAGGAGAATCTGATCATATGACTGGATTTTCTCATCTTTTATCTTACTTCCATTTTGTAGCTCCCTCTCAGAGTGTTACTCTAGTTAATGGTTCGTCTACTATGGAGTTGATTATGATGAGACGTTTGCTTTGGTTGCTAAGATTTCATTTGTTCGTGTTTTGATTTCTCTTGCTACTAATCTTAATTGGCCTCTATTCAGTTAGATGTTAAAAATGCTTTTCTACATGGTGACTTAGCCGAAGTGGTCTATATGGAGCAACCACCTGGGTTTGTTGCTCAGGGGAGTATTGTCGCAATGTTTGTCGTTTAAAGAAGGATTTGTATGGTTTGAAATAGTCACCAAGGGCGTGGTTTGGCAAATTCTCTGAGGCAGCATTAAAGTTCGGCTTCACCGATGCCTCATTCAATATTTCATCATCGTACTAAGGTAGGTTTTATATTTCTTGTTGTATACACGGATGACATTGTTATCACCGGTAATGACACAGAGTATTGCCAAAGTAAAACAGTTTTTGCAGCAATGTTTCCATACTAAAGATTTAGGCACACTCAGATATTTCTTGGGAATTGAGGTTGCTCGATCTAAGCAAGGTATTAGTTTGTCTCAAAAGAAATATGTACTAGACTTGTTAGAGGAAACAGGTTTATTAGGTAGTCGTCCGGTTGATGCTCCTATAGACCAGAATCATAAACATTTATCCGGTGATGGAGATCTATTTGATGATCCTGGTAGATACCGTCGACTAGTTGGGAAGTTAATCTATCTTATTATTACTCGACCAGATATCTCATATGCTGTCAGTGTTGTGAGTCAATTCATGGAAGCTCCTTGGGTATCACACTGGAGTGCTGTTCTTCGGATTATTCGATATCTCAAGCAAGCTCCAGAACTTGGGTTGTTGTATTGATCAATGGACACCTTAGAGTGGACGGTTTAACAGATGCTGATTGGGCTGGTTCTCCCTTAGATAGGAGATCCACTACAGGTTATTATACCTTCGTAGGAGGTAATCTAGTTACATGGACAAGAAAGAAGCAGACAGTCGTAGCGCAATCTAGTGCTGAAGCCAAGTATAGGGCAATGGCCCATACTTCTAGACATGGTTACAGCATTTCCTTGAAGAACTTGGTTTAACAGTCAAAACTCCTCTTCTGCTATTTTGTGATAACAAAGCAGCTCATTGAAGTTGACTGTCAGTTTATGTTATTGAGTGGGAATATCTCTACCCCATTTGTGAAATTTGAAGATCAATTTGCTGATATGTTTACTAAGGCTTTCAAGTCATAATAGGTTGAGGTTTATCTGTTCCAAGATGGGATTACATAATATATACTTACCAACTTTGAGGGGGGGAGTGTTACTTTACTAATGGGAAATATGGCCATTTCATTGTAATAGCAATTGTATATATATACTTATGTGTGTGAGGAGAGGTGTTATACTCTTACTCACAAAATTCCCAGCCGTGTTTTGCTTTTTATCTTTTCTGCAAACCCTAAATTCCAATAAAGGTTTGAGTGTCAAGAAAGCAAAACGGTGAGGACTCTTACAGGTATTACCTAACTTGGAGAAGAGGGATAAGGTAATGCAGTTTTAACAGCTTGGTTTTATTTTGTTCTAGATGACATAGAAATAAGGCAAGTAAATGACATCCCCATCAAAAGACACAAAAAGAGTCATTGTTTTTAAAGCTGCATTATTCAGATCTGACTATTATCAGAAAAATTATTTACAGCATTAACCAAGCCATTGAATTGATAAAGACTGTTTAAAACTCTTAGCACGATCTAGTGCTGAAGCTGAGTAGGCAATGGCCGATACAGATACTTCTAGTGAGTTAACGTGGTTATAGCATTTCCTTGAAGAACTTTGTTTAACAGTCAAAACTCCTCTTCTGTTATTTTGTGATAGCTAAACAGCACTTCACATTGTATCGAATCCAATGTTTTATGAGAGAACCAAGCTCATTGAAGTTAGACTGTCATTTTATTCGAGATAAGATATTGAGTGGGAATATCTCTACCACATTTGTGAAATCTGAAAATCAACTTGCTGATATGTTTACTAAGGCTTTCGAGTTATAATAGGTTGAGGTTTATTTGTTCCAAGCTGGGATTACATAATATATACTTACCAACTTGTGGGGGAGTGTTAGAATATTAGGTATTTTACTAAGGGCAATATGGGCATTTCATTGTAATAGCAATTGTATATATGTACTTATATGTGAGAGGAGAAGTGTTGTACTCTTAGTCACAAAATTCCCAGCCGTGTTTTGCTTTTTATCTTTTCTGCAAACCCTAAATTCAATAAAGGTTAACAGTCAAGAAAGCATAACAGTGAGGAATCTTACAAGTGTTACCTAGCTTGGAGAAAAGGGGGATACGGTGGTGCAGTTTTAACAGCTTGATTTTATTTTGCTTTAGATGATATAGAAATAAGGCATGTAAATGACACCCCCATCAAAAGACACAAGAGTCATTGTGTTTAAAGCTGCATTATTCAGATCTTATTATTATAAGAAAAATTATTTACAGCATTGACCAAGCCATTGAATTGATAAAGACTGCTTAAAACTCCCGACACTAACTAAAAATCAAGATTGTCTATAAGAGACGGAAGATGTCCTTCTGATTCCCTAAGTTTCAAATATAATGCCAATTAGTATTTCCAAACCACATACGTAATGATGTCAGATCAGAATTACGAAGTTGATGTGGGTGGCAATGGCTCAAAGGTGCAACCACCCGATATAAACATTCTTTTTCTTTTTTTCTTTTTGGATAAGCAAAAAATCTTGAAGTAAACAAGAAGAAAGTTGGCCCAAAAAAATAGAACCCAAATGACAGAAAGCAACGGAAGCACCAACGGAAAAGCAATCTCAAAATCTCTCTTAACCTACACACAGACAAGTTAAGAAGCACAAATACGGATATGAGACATAAATACAATACAACACGGGCATGGAGACACAGTAAATCGTACAAAATTAAGATACAAACATGGCGACTAATAAATATATCTTTTTGTGT